GGAATGATGTCATTCAAGCTCAAAAGAGAAAGAATGATGTCATCTCTCTAATTATAGTGTATAGAGAGATGATTAAGATTTCAGACTGTAAGTATATAAAATATGAATATTAATACAGAGGTGAATACTTAAGTAATTCTGTGGAATTACTTAAAGCATAAAAGTATAAAAATAAAATAATAGTAAAAATATAAGATTACATAATTGGGATTTGAACCCAAGTGTAATGGTGAGGCAAAGTCATAACACAGTCCTTAACCAATACACTACAGTACATGTGCTAGTTGGCTAAGTACAGGTTGTAGACACATGGGCTACAGCCTCAGTGTCTGACAGTTCTCGAGCCCTTACAATGACATCATTGTGCATGCACCTTTTCTTTCCTTTCTCTGATTCCTTCTTCTCTTTATTATCTCTCATCTCTTCTTGACTGTTCTTTCCCCCAGGAACTCATCACACTCCATAAGATCCTCCAACATAACTTCTACCCATTATCTCATCTTGAAGTTTATTCCATCACTCTTACAATACAAACATCTTCTACTGTCTTACCTCACTACTCATCCTCTCAACCATTTTCTTACAACAAGTTTTTGTCTTGACAAACATCTTATCTCGACCTTCCTAGTCTGTCATCTGCTTCAACCATTTCCTTCTGCTTCGACCTTTGCTTCAAACATTCCCTTCCATCCGACAAACCACCGACCACTTCTTCTCTGATACGACTTCTCTATCATTGTAGGTTGTTGTTGCTCTCTCCTCATCATTGTTCTTATGATTAACTCAATCTGTTTTTTCAGACTTCTTTCTTCATTTCTCTCACCGTCTTAGAATACAATTCTATTGTTGTTCTTATCATTAGCCATATACTGCTTTTAGGTGATTATCTTTTCTTCTTTCTTCTTTTTTCTCATGTTTTATTTAATTTACCTGTCACTCATGAAATAATACTTTTAGTCTAAACATTCAAAAGTTTCAGTCCTATATTTGGTCATGCAGCAATAAAAGGATTAGATTTCTGGGCTTGTTTGCCGTCAGAAAATCCTCAACACCCGCAGGTACCCACCCTGGCGGGTGTGGGTGTTCACAATAGTGGATTTTTGAGGTGGGTACCTGCACCTGCTCTGGGTACCCGGGTATGAAGTGACATCTCTAGCTCCAAATGCCTAAAACCCCCCTTGGAAACACCCTACCACCAGTACTAGCCTAATAGGGGCCTAGTGTTGGAATTCTATGACTCCTTTCCCAAATGAGTTTTTACAAGTTGTTTTTTCCTTTTTTTTTCTTTATTGAATATTGATTATACTTTCTTCTTCAATGACCACAAATTGGCCCTCTTTTATGTAGCTATTTAACACTAGCTAGATACAAGAAATTAACATCATTGGTCCTTACTATTTTTAACTGGTCCTAAGAGGACACATTAGCCTCTTCTTAGCTTATTCCAATCACACTTGAGCCCGATTGATTAAGAAAAAAATAGCCTCTCAGACTTCTTCCTGCTTTCAGCATTGCCGACTTTCCCTTCTCCGACCTTAAATTTCTTCACCTAGGTACTGGGGAACCAGGGAAGGGGCCAAGCCAAGCCAAAATATTGACTATAACTGGGACCCTAATTATCAAAGTTGATTGTGTTTATTGCCTTGTTGATAAGTGATAAAAAAATTACACCAAAACAGAAGAAAAATAATGTTTTGCCCCACATTTTGGTTCCATGCAGCATAAAATCAGTGCCCTGTTATCCCCTGGAGGGCTTGCAAAAGGCCTGCCCCAGCACCCCTTGGCTCACCTGGCCATTGAGAGTGTACTCTCAGCAGCCGGGAGGAGTCCTCCTGGCCGCTGGGGGCTCTGTTTAGTTCACCAACCCCCAAAACCAACTGGGGTTCTAGCTTAACACAATCCCCTTGTTCCAGAGGGCCGGGGGCACCTTGCGAAGCGAGCCTCTGAAAGAGGGGCTTGGGAGTGAAGTTGAAACATCGGCCTGGAAGCTCAGGCTTTTTGTGGCTTTTTTTGGCCTTTGCACACAAAATCCCCTATAACTCAGGAGAAATCTGGATGATATTGATGCCGTCAGCTTCTTCGGATACCTGAGCTTCTTCCCATTCTGCCCATATAATTTTTTGATAATTGTAGTGAGTATAAGTCATCTGTCCCTGAGATGCCAATTGGGGGACTTGGTCCAAATACAGTGGTAATCTCTGGGAAGAAACAGGAATCTCTATGACCATAGTTGGGGCCCATCATGAAACTTCTGGCCAAACGGCCTTTGTGGAACGCTGTTGATGGGGGCAGGTGAGGGCCCATGGCCCCAAGAGTTATACGGAAATGATCAGAAGAAGCCGGCCTCTCAAATGGTCAAACAGGCGGGTCAAATTTCCACTTGGAAGATGACACAAGTCTTCGAGCAAGAATTTCCCCACCTAACTGATGCCAGCTTCCACACAAGAAAGCCGACTTTGTTCACAACTCCCTCCTTTGGAGGCTCGCTCCGCAAGGGGCGCTTTGCGCCAGACTGGCACAGGCCCATCCGATCGAGGGGCTTGCGTTAAGTTAGACTGGGGTTTTGGAGCATTGACTCCCGACCCCTCCAGGGGGTTCATTTTTCATCTTAATTAATTTTTTGGGGGGTCTGACTCCCAAACCCACTGAGGGTTTTGGAGGATTGACTCCCAAACCTGCGGGGGAGAAAAAAATAGGGGGAGGCCGGATGTCCTGAGGTATTCTGCAGATGGTGCTCAGGATGTCCCTGGGGTTGGGGAGTTGACTCCAATTTTTTGGGAGCTGAGTAACCAAGCCCCAAAATCCAAGCTGTGACCACAAGGAATCTTAAGTGGGGTCAGAAGAAAAAAAAACAAAAGTGATCTCAGCTAATCAGACAGTTCACTGTCACATCTGAACTTTGAGGCAATTTTCATGGCATTTCTGACTAACAAATTTGTCCGAAATCTCAAATTGCTCCAAAACAGATGATTCATGAGCTATGACAAAATTCATAAAAAATGGTCTGTAACTGTGCTAAAAGTTGCCAGCTTGAACTTCAGAGGTGAACTGGCCTAATGGCAGGATCCGAGGTAGTGAAGAATGGTTTGTTTCTTGAAGGATCAAATAATCATTAAGACTTGGTGTGGGGCCTGTGTCTTAGAGATGAAATGAAAGTAACTGTGGTTTGTAAAGACTTACACTTCTGGTCTGTTCCGACTAGGGTTGGCGGCGCCAGTCACGGGGCGCGCCCTGGGCGCTGTCGCACCCCGAGGCGACGGGTTGCGACGGGGGGGGGGCACACCTAAATGCCCAAAAACCCCTCCAGGCGCGCCCTCCCAGCAGTACTATGGGCCTAGGGCCCAGGGACCAAAACCCTGAGTAAGTAGCCCAGCCAACTGAAGATATTGATGGTGGCTGAGACCCTATGGATGTTTGGCTCCCCATTGATTGAGACTGATAATGTTTTTTGTGCCTTATTGACAAGGAATTTAAGAAAAAAAAACCAAAAAACAGGAAAGATCCTTATTTCCGCCATATTTAGTCCCAAAAAACCAAACAGCGGCGCCCTGGCGCCCCCACCAGTGGGCGCGCCCTGGAGGGCTTGCAAAAGGCGCACCTTGGCGCCCCCAGCTCAACGGTGGCACCGCCAACCCTAGTTCCGACATGAAAAAGCAGACAAAAACTGTGTTTGGTGTTGATGTGTTCCAGTTGGCCCGGCAACGAACTTATCGCAAGTCTCCCGCTGCGGCGGGCGCATCTGGCAGCGTAGCGCTGGCCAGGCGGTTCCCGAAGGGAACTCCCCGCAGGGGAGACTTGGGTCAGAGGTCGACAAACTCAGGTGCTGAGTTTGAGTTGTTTTGGTGGGAGCGTCACAAGATTTGAAATCCTGATGCTCCCTCAAAACTTTCTTGATGTTTGGTCTGGAATTTTTCAAGACCTGCCTGATCTTGTTGATCAGGCCAAAACTTAGAAGTTGCACCTTGCAACTGTAATTAATAATAAATTTCTTAAATTATGATTTGAACTTTTTTTGAGCTCAAATGCGGGGTTTGCTCAACTTGGGCCCACCAAAAGAAGCCAAGTTGAGTTGAAAAGTCAACCTTTTCAAAAACTTTTTATAAATAATTAACAAGCATTACCAAAAAACTGAACACAGGGAAATATGGGCAAGACACAGGCCTCCCCTGTCCCAGGAGGAAATTAGATGAGTATGATTAAAGGAGTGCTTAGAGTGGAAAACACACAAAAAAGTGAGTTTTCAGTTGAATTTTGAAAACTCAGCACGAGGGGATTGTCACATTTGTCTTAGGCCTCCACTGGCGTGGACAGCTCCGCTGCTCGCTACCGCTCCCGCCGTGGAGGCCTAGTTAGGCTCGGCCCGGCAAGTCCCCCTTCCCGATTATCGGCTTCAATTATGTAGCAGCTCATGACCGTCGGACGAGAATTGGGCGGAGGATTGCATACAGACAATCCGATTCTCCTCCCACCGGTGGTTCGATAGCTCAGTTTGAGCTGACCACCCATATTTGCCAGCCAGACTGCAAGTCGGTCGTGCTATGTATAAGACGAGCAAACGGTTGACGACTAGCCAGTCTATCGTGAGTAATTTGTGCCTCCAAAACTCGCAAGGCAGACATGATGACGACCCGAATAGATTTTTCTTCTTTTTTTCGTTTTGATGAGTGGCTGGCTGACTGGCAACGGTCGCTGGTCGTTTGGGATCAAAATATTTAAGGTTTCTCCTCCTGAGAGTGTCTTCGCAGTCTGCACTGCTCTGAAAATTGCAGTCAAATAAATACATATATTCGGAGTGGCTGTGCCTATCTGAAACCGTCGACTTTCCTGACCAATCCCAGCCCAGCCGTCTCCCGATAGTTCATCTCTCCCTAACAAAACCAACCACCCAGCCACCCCACAACCAACACTACATAGACCTGAGAAGCTTGCAAGAGAGCCAAGACAGGTCAACTCATTGGCGAGGATCTCTAGACAGCACTACACACACACAAACAACTTGAATGGCACTGGGTCATCCGAGCCCAAAGTTACAGGTCTTGGCCGGCCCGTCGGCTGATGAGCTATCTCCGGTCAATGTGAATGCCGACAAGACCGATCCGTTCAGGATCCATACCGATCGTTTTGAAGGTGCCCATTCTGTCTCTCTAGAGAAGCTTTTGACTACTTATCTGACAAACTTCCGATCATCTCTCATCCTGATGATTGAACTCTTCTCATTTCTCCAAATTCGCACCGCGAACTCCTTCAAACATCAACGTCTCACTAGGCGCCTTGACCGTAAGGTAAGAAGAAGTCAATCTAGTTCACATATCCTACCCTGAGACCGGGCTATCCCGTACTGCTTTCATCGGAATCATCACCAGTGGCTGAAAATTTCCATCTCATTCCAGGATCAAGAACTTCCTTGGGGCCGATGATTGTCTCTCCAAGGAGACCGAAAACAAGTATTTCGAAGAGTGGCCTGAGATGACCTGCAGCATCCAGATACAAGGTCAGCAAGTCGTTTTTGATAATCAGATCGACTCTTTCTTTGTGTATGTATGTGAGTTGACTGACTAATAATGTGCCCCTGGGATTACATACCAATCTTTAGGTCGGTTCCTTCAACCAACGAATGCTGATGATTGTATGTGGGGTAATAGCTTCGATAGGCCTATTCGTGATCGATTGCCTTACGGCACTTCTGTGGCGTTGAAGGCGATCTCTTACATCGATCCATCCTTAGAGGTACATAATTATTCCAAAAAAAAACCATCTCACTCATCAAAGCAATCTTACCTCCGAAATGATGTGACTGATTATTTTTGATTGTAGCATGATATTTATAGTGATAAACCTTGGGCTTGGTAGTTTTCTAGAACTAGGCTTCTCAATGAGACAGGTACAGAGAATTAACAGAGATGTTGTTCGTCCGAAACAGGTCGCCACTCTTGGCCACGATGAACCATGTGCAAACCGAGTGAGTACTAATATTTTCAATTGACAGCCTCGGCGAAGAAATCACTGACCACTTCTTTCTTTTTTTTGGGGCGGTTTCACCAGACGATTGGAATCTGGTGATTCACCATTGCCCGATTGGGAAGGCACTCGACCAGTTGAAGACTGCAACAGTGTCGTCGGAGAATTAGAAACAATCACCTCGAAGCGCGAACGACGGCGATTCCTGTCATCGCCTGAAAACCGACAAGCTTGTATCTTGGGGCCTAGAGTGAGCTATCCATCCAACGTCCCTCAATTTCACCCTTTTTTGGGGTCGCAACTTATGAATGGTGTCCTTGTTTCCCGTCTGTGCCCGATCTCACTTCTTCCTAAAGGATTTCGTAAGTTTTCTTGTTTGTTCCATTTTCATAAGGTCTCGGTGAAATCCTTCCTCAGATTATTAGTTCAATCCAGCTGAAGTCCCTCTTTTTGACTATTCAGATTAATGTCGAGTTCGTCAATGGGTTTGTGGACTACTCTACTTTGAGATTACAGATACCTATCGTCAAATTATCATTCAGGTCAGAAAGCCATCTGTCATCCACTCACCTCTCACAAACTCTGCAAGATATTTATTGAGATTTATGTGCCTTAAATTCCATGTGTTGGGTTTTTAGGCTGGATAAGCTGTGGGATGGTCAACCAGTCAGATACGAATGCATCTCACGCTCAACCCTCCAAACCTACTTCGTCATCGTGGTGCAGATCGTCGAATTGAATGGTGAACCTGTGTCGGAATAATCATCAACAACAAGTTTGATCATACATATGAGTCAATAATATGGCGTTAATCACACGCATAACACCAGCAAGGAACCGCGATTGACCCTTCTGTATCACTAGTTTTATCTATCTCTACGAGCGAACGAACGAGCCTCATATCATACTCGATACCAGCTTTCGTATGTATAACCTACTTTGACACATATCTTCCTCAAAATGATGCAGATCGGACATATTGTCATATTAGTCTTTCACATGTGATTCTCTTAATTGTCTCCTTGCCTTACGGAATTTACTTCTCTTTTGTACAACATTTTTTCTTTTTCTTTTTCTACTATTAAGATTCATTTGAGAGCTTTCTTAAACAGAAGAAGAAGAAGAAAAAAAGATATAATTCACTAATCAAGTCTACTATACAAATTCACATTAACAGCTTATTATCATTATTGTCATGGTTTACCAAAACTATATGGGCTGGTTTTAAAACACTTAGGATGGCATTTATTATCATTTTTCTTATCAGAGGCTAAGAAAAATAAATAAATTTTAATTCTCGTCAATTACATGTGATTCTCATTTTCAAATGACTATTACCATCATATCAACATTGGTCGATTTTGAGAACAGCGGATGTAGACCTTGGAACGAGTGGCACATAGTATACTATGAGCTCATGCGCAAGTTGAACTGTCCTAGTCTTTCTGTCCCAACACCCAGTGAATAACAGTTTTTCGAGGATGTCCTCCTGGCTGGAAATCTCACAAGTAGGATACTTATTTCTTTTTCTACATAGTCTTTTGATCAGGAAAGTATTCTTGCAAGAGTCTCATCATCATCAGTTTGATCCATTCTGTGAGGTTCCAGGTTGGCCTCCAAGTACAATTTGCATACAAAAAACAGGGAGTGTTCCGGATAAGAGAAGGATCTATTTGTGTTAGGGTACATAAAGATATAGTTGGTATGATCATGATTGATTGGTGAGGGATGATGCAGATGAAGCTGTGCCAGTCAAATGTTGCAAGATTCGCAGATCTCAACTAGTGCACCGGATGATGGTCCACAGTCCTCTGGCGACTGGTCCTCATCCGACAACACACCTCGAACCGACCATGCATCAGCCCCACCGTTCGTTGCTCCGGAAAGCTTTCCAGATGATACCCCCTCTGGATGGCTCACTACACAAAGGTCAAGCCGGTACGCAAATAAGTTTCTTCTTCTTCTTTTGATTTTGGGACCGAGTGGTCTGATCGATCTTCCTGTTCTCTTCCAGGCCGAATCGGGATCGTCGGTGGCTCCAAAGAGTACGTCCCTCGTTCGCTCCCAATCGCAGCCGATTTCGTTTCCACAGGGTGTACCTCGTGGGACGTCGGTTTATGATCAAGTGATAATTGATCAGTGAACATGATCTGTCGTCGTGATTTCCTTGGATGGTATAGTTACACTGGGGCGCCGTTCTACTCAGGCTACGCATCTCTAAGATTAGTTGAGTATTCCACATTCCCGTAGATCCTGTTCAAGAAGTTCAAAATGTATCTGATTGATGATTGTCGCGATCAGGGCTCCGATCTTTCGCACGTGATTTGTGAACCCAGTGCATCGACGGTCATCAAGACCTATTCCCCCGACCTGATGGTTCACAGTTACTTGAGCTCACCCAAGGAGCCCGAGGCATATGCAAGTCACCAGAACCAATTCGAGCAGCTCTTGGACCGTCTCCATGTCCTCGTCGTCGGCCCTGGTCTCGGCAGAGATACAGAGATGCAAGATTGGGCCGAATGGACACTCAAAACAGCAATCCAAAAGAAACTGCATTTGGTTCTTGATGCAGATGCTCTATGGTTACTAGTCAAAAAGCCGTTAGTTGATGTTTCTCTTCTTGTCTGATTTCTTGAAGGAAAGTTTTTCAACATCACTGATCCTTATCAAAAATATAGTGATCTTCTCCGCGGCTATCCGAATGCAATCCTGACGCCAAACCACGTGGAATTTCAACGATTATTGAAGGCTTGCTCGATAGAACCCCGAGAGCATGATGATGATGGACTACTGGCGATGGAACTCTCCAAGGCTCTGGGCGGGTGCTCGATTCTGCAGAAAGGTTCGATAGACCTGGTGGCTCGGGAAGGCTCAGAAGTGGCGAAAGTCAGCTGCGAGGGCTCTCCCAAACGTTGCGGTGGTCAGGGCGATATTCTGAGTGGCTTAGTGGGGACATGGGTAAGCGTTGCACTCTCATATCTTTATATGGCTCTCCGTGGAGAAGAATCATTCACAGTGATCTTACTGTGTTCGGCCAATCAGTGTGCTTGGACAAAGCTTTACTTCGAACGACAATCACAGGACGAAAAACCCAAGTCGCATGAGCTGCCGATCTCCCCGGAAGAAGCATGGATCATCGCCGCCGTCCTCGGATCGGAAATCACCAGAACTTGCTCTAGATTAGCCTACCATAAGTTTGGCAGATCGATGCAATCGAGCGATATGCTGGGCTATATCGGCGAGGCCTTCGAGCAGGTCATGCACGGCCACACAAAAGATTGAATTTCCTTCTCCTTGTATGTATACCATCTTGTAACATTGATCTCGAAGTTCTAAAGAGTTTGTTGTTGTCAGTATTAGTTAACAAGGTCGTAAGAATGGTCAGTGTCCAGAGTATGATTAACAGCAGACTTATCTAACTTTCTCCAATTGATAATTGGCATCTATCAATCCAAGTTTCAATCACGTGCACCCTGATTCAATATAACATCCATCCAATAATCGGGACATGAAATGTGGGAAGTGGATGAAAAAAAGATCGATTGGAATGTAGCCTATATTAAGAGGATCACCTTCGCAAGTGACAAATTTTGAAGTGCAACATTAATGCCCCAAGACACCCTCAATATCTTTGGATCATGCACAAAAAATGAAGTAATAATGTGTATGCGTAATCGCAATGGCTTGCCGTGTCCATGTTGCGCATCATTCTTGGGCAGGAAGAAACATTAAGAAGAGTATGAATTCATTGATCCAGATTTCCCTGAGCATCAATTTTTCTATGCTTGATGATCATCAGGTTGGACCACATCGATTTGATCGATGGTAGTTACTTTGTAGGCACTGGTAGCTGATGAGGAAGAGGGAACCAAGTATGTAGGCATCTATTTAATTCAATGACTTGCCCTTTTCTCTCCACACCCTCATCCCAGGCTAAGGAGTCTTATGGGTGTGAACTGGGTTCAGCAAAGAAATCCCAGCAGACCAGGGGACGTGGTCTCTTGGCGGGGGACGGGGGTTTCTTCCCGGGGACGCCGACGCGCTGTATTTAACTCCGGTCGCACCCAAGCCAAACCCACCGAGGGCAGTCTCCACCACCAGAAAAACTACCAGACAAAGAAAACCCCAGGGGACATCCGAAACCGGACTTCATATCATGACTGCAAAATTACCGATCCATGTGGCCATTGGTAAGTCTCAAGTTTGTTTTATTCTTGTTGATCATAAGACAATCGATCGGATTTTCTAGAACTGACGATTCTTTGTGTGTGTATGTGTGTATCTGCAGTTGGCGTTGGCTTAGTCGGCGAGCAAGTTGTCCACCAGTTGATGTCGAGCCGATTACGCTCGAGTTTCCAGATCTGTTCCCTCCATACATCACGTCGGCACCTTGAAGTGGCATCCAGCAGTGTGGGAGATAAGACAGCGTCTGAGTTGATCGATGAACTCAAGAAGGAACAATCAGGATCGAAGGCGTATTCGGGAGGGGTTGAAGAAGTCGTGAGCTATCTGGCTGATCCCTCCAAGCTACCTCGGCCGTTACTGGTAGTTGATTGCACCTCGAGCCAACCCTTTGCCGATGCGTATCCTCGCATCCTCGCCAGTCATCAAACCCACCTCGTGACCCCTAACAAGAAGGCGTTCTCAGGAACAGATCAACTGTACTCTGAAATCGAGAAGACCGTCCAGGAAAATGGCAACATGGTCTTCAAGGAGGCCACCGTCGGCGCTGGATTACCGATCATCAGTACCTTGCGCGAGCTAGTGGTCACGGGAGACCAGTTGACCAAGGTCGAGGGGATCTTTAGTGGGACGATGAGCTATATCTTCAACCAATTCAGCCAAACCACTCCGACCTCCACCAGCTTTTCTGAGGTCGTCTCAGTTGCCAAGCAGTTAGGCTACACCGAGCCCAACCCAGCAGACGACCTCAACGGCTCTGACGTCGCCCGAAAGCTCTCCATCCTGGCTCGCAATCTCTCCTCCCCAATCAGTCTACCCTTAGGCTTCGAATCCGTCCCCACACGTACCTTGATCCCAGAACCTCTCGCAGAAGTCAACGACCCTGTCGAATTCATGTCCACACTCCCTCAATTCGACGCTCAATACGGCAGATTTAGGGACGAGGCTTTCACCAAGGGGGAAGTGATGAGATACGTTGGGATCATCGATTTAACGGACCCCAATAAACCACTCGTCAAGGCTGGGTTAGAGAGGTTAGTGAAAAAAAAAATAAAACAAGACGCTTCCTGTCCTACATGGTTGGGCGAATACAAAGCTGATTGGAGATCTTCGTTTTGATCTTAAGATATCTTTTCAATCATCCGTTTGCTACGATGAAAGGCTCAGATAGCATCATCTCATTCCATTCCAAACGATATGCCTCCAGTCCATTGATCGTCCAAGGCTCCGGAGCAGGAGCCGAAGTGACAGCCATGGGCGTCGTCGGCGACATGATCAAAGTGGTCGAACGGCTCATCGGCCGCAACATCAACTAATGCCCCTTATCTATCTATGCTCTGATGACATCTCTTTTTCTACCTTCTTCTTCTTTCTCAAAACACAAGCATCCATCTGTCTCTGCTCTCATACCACTCATGCCTTTCATATATTCTCATCTTCATCCGTTACGCTAAACTTTTATGGATGCATGATTTTAACATGCTAATTACCAAAAAAAAAAAAACACTTGAATGAAAATCAACCCATCATGTCAGTATCATAACATATTAATTCAACCCGTAATTTAGGTTGAGATTTACCAGAAGTAAGAAGGAGATTAAATTCAGGTGTTAAATCAACTTGGATTAGGATCTTTTGTGAGAATTGGAGAATTATGTGAAGAAAAAACAACACATAAATACATGAATAGTGTTGGGCTGAATAAGAAAGAAGAGAAGCATATGTTAATGGGAGCACATGGACTTGGAGGAGTTCGGTGACCCCAACAAACACTTTGTACCCACCCACCCCATTATTGCTGAGTTTTCCCACTGGTTTTTTAATCCACAAACACACTGATCACACTCACTCACACAGTTTAATAGATAGATGGAACTAGCTGCACTCCTTGAACGCACACGGGACGAGCCAAGTGGAGAGAAAGCTTGAATTGTATGTATCCATATTACATCTTAATAGTTTCGATCAGCTGGATTCCTTTGATTTTGTTGAGATCGATGACCAATCTGTCTGTCTCTGAAGAAGCAAACCACACCAACTAGAAAAAGCTCATTCGAACATATACTCGGGCTCAAGGGACTACATAGATCACTCGAAGGATGCCACAAGAATTACTGAGGTTTCCGACGAGTTACTTGACGGTAGGGATCTATCGATTGGGCACGGATCCGAAGATCAACCGAGCGATCGTGCAAGAGTTCTCGACGATTGTGAAGAGATTGGTGATGCTCTCGATAGTCTACTGTGCTCTCTCCTATCCGGTGACGAAGGTCTGGGTGAAGTATTTCCTACTGAGCAAGCGAGCCAAGCCGGCGGATCAGGACGAAGTAGCAGAGACGGTGGGCATGATCGGAGCCATGTTCTCCCTCGTCAACTTCACCACCATCAGTCTCGTCCTCAGCCAACTCAGCTCGATCATCGAATTCTTCCTCCTCAGGAAACTCAAGAAAACCAGAGCTAAGGTCTACCAATTCACCATCGAGAGTCGGGCCAAGTCCGAGCAGTTCTGGATCCCCTACGTCGAGGAATGGGATCATCCTCCTCTCGAGAAGGCTCAGCGAAGGATCTCCAAGTGGAAGTGGTACAAGACTATCACCGGACCGATCTTTAGATTGCTTGTCCTCAAAGGTCAGTCCTACTACACCCCCTTCTGTCGAGAAAAAAAATGAAACATGAAAGAAAGAAAGAAAGAAAGAAAGAAAGAAAGCGAAAAGTTGATGATCATCGATCGTTTTCTGCTCCAGTCATCTTATTACCACTCAACTTCGTCCCGTTTCTGAACACGATCGTCGGCTCATTTCTGGTCTCCTTGACGCTATCGGAAAGACTATTGGAGCCCTACTTCAAGACGAAGAAGATGAGTGAGCTGGAGCAGGCTCTGTTCATGGTAGAGCGAGAGAACTCGTTGCGATGGCTCGGGTTCTTCGCCGCCGTCCTCGAACGGATCCCGATCCTTGGGATCCTCTTCTCCTTCTCAAATCGGATCGCCTTCGCTATGTTCGCTCATGACCTCGAGAAACATCAACATGCCGTCAAACAGGGCCTTATCCCCAAACAACCTGACCCCTATCGCTCCAAGACTGCCGCTATCGAATTGGATTTACCGTCTGATGCAATCGGAAATTTCCCCAAGAAGAAACTATAATCTTCTTTCTTTTCCCTATCTCTCTCTCTTTGTAATCTTTTTGAATTGATTGGTTCTTAGACACTGAATATGACTCACTGTTTTTCCGTAATTATACTAAATGTTTGTATGTGTGCACAGCTCTTGAATTCTTGTCTATAATCAATACTATGAAATCACTCCATGCATGTGTTTATACAATCGATCTTCTGAATTATAAGTACATAGAACCAAAAAAAAAAAAAGATAGTCAAAACAGGTGGTAATGATGTCAACATGTAAATCGTCTACCGCCCATGACCCCCCCCCCCGATAAATAATTAGTAGAATGACAGTAAGCACATCGGATGGGTAGAGTGAGGTGTAGGGGGCAGAAGGGAAATTATAAATACCAAGAAAAAAAAAGATGAGATGTGCGGCACAACGAAGACAAAAGTTGAAGAAAAAAAAACACATGTACGTGGGTTATAACATCATTGGGTCGAGAGGGAAGTTGTTCTAGAGAATGTTCGGGCTGATTGGGGTTGGAGAACGGGGGATGCGAAGCGGCCAATCTGAGGGAATGGGGTGCCTGTGAGGAGGTGAGGAGGAGCACATAGGACTGAGCTCGAGAGAACTGGTCAGAGGAAGATGAGTGATTGTGTCGGTGTGCTTGTGTAGGAGCAGGAGGGCTGGTCGCAGGGCGGATTCATCGAGGTCGAAAGCGGACGAAAGACGACGATATGAGCGGTTGCGAAGGGGCGACTTTTGGTCGGGTTGGTCTGAAGTCCATGATGACATGTGTGTGTTTTGAGATAAGCTTCTCTATGCAGATCCTTTGGAGAAGGGATCGGGATATGCTGTGATCGGAGGGCGAGTGTGGTCATCTGAACAGCCGGTAGAGAACAAATAGACCAATCACCGAGCCCACACTGTAGATGATCACTCTCCGTTGCGAGGAGCCCGCGGAGATCGTCCGACTGAATCGATTGGCTGAATCGGATAATTGAGATGTAAACGAATCAAATTGTTCGCCCTTTTTTTTGTCGTCGTCGTCGTTGTTGTTGTTGTTGTTGTTTTCAATTCAATTCATTGTATTTCATTTGGCAGAATCAGTAATTAGTTATCATCCGTTTTTTTTGGGTAATGTGGTGGGGTTGAAATTTGATGTTAAGTGGTGCGGCATAGATAGAATGCTTACGGTTTGGTTGAGCAATCGGTTTTGGGATAACGAGTCGGAATGTATATCGATGGTAACCTAAATCAAATCATCAACAAAAATTCAAGAGCTCATTAGTTCAAAGCATCAAGAAAGAAAGGAACTGGAAAGGATCAGACGACATACGTTCTTGATTGAATTTATTTTAGAATAAAGTGATTCGAGTCGTTCGTCATTCTGTTGTTCCATAGTTTCTCAGCTGAGATATGTCCTATTTTCTTTCGGATGTATCGGCCTTCGCCCACTTGCTGATGGCTTTCGTTCTTAGTTCTCCTTGACGATTTGATAGTTGGCTGTCGCTGAGTTTTCTGCAATGTTGTTCAACTCTGAAGGTCTTGAATCGATGGAGACGGTTGGTGGTGGCACCCACGGGGGCTACCACCCGACCAATTTGGTACCGTTAACACAAGCCCCTCGATTGGAGGTGTGTCAGCGAAGCGAGCCTCCAAAGGAGGGGCTTGGGACCTAAGTCAGTTTTTTGGGCTGAGATGTTTTGGGTTTTTGGTGGTGGCAAACTTGCCCCCACTGTTGCATCCCATGACCTTCCTCCTGGAGTTTTTGATGCCCAATTGGGCCATTAGAACCGCATGGATCTTGTCTTCCATTTAGCAAATCAAAGTTCATGATTCCAAGGATCCAGGTCATCTGAAAATCCAAATACAGGATTAATTTACAGGTGTCCAGATCCAAACTTTTCAAAGCTTTTGTCATGGAAATCCAAGATCTGTCCAATCTGAGTAGATTGAATATGTGCACTATTGT